ACAGATAATATTGTATTAACCTTTCTGTAGGGCTAACCTGTTACTAATATAATCATACCAGCTGATTTATAGGAGAAGATAATTGAGCATTGTCACATTATAGTGATGATAAATGTCTAACTGTTCGTAGCTTGAGGTCAAGTGTGTTCGCCAGCCAAAGGTCACACCTGTCCAACATGATGCAATCTTACCTGTCCAATCCTTGTTACAAATGATTAACACCTGAACAATTAATTAAATCATTATAGTATATCAAATATACCAATGAATTGTTTACTGATGAATATATATATATATCAATTACAATAATCTTTTATAAAAATAATTTGTTTGGACTCATTTACCAAGTTTTTGCAACGTAATAAGCAAGGAATTAAAAGACTCCAAATTTTTGACAGATTTTTCTCAAATTCCTACGAGTAATCAAATTAATCATTTGCTGGGGACCTCATTTTTGAAAAGGTTAACTCTATCACGGTTTCAATAATATTTTTTTGGCAATATAATCATATTCAGAACGAAGTATTTCTACATGATAGTACAAAATTTAATTATTAATTCAAAACTGATTCATATGCATCAAGTATCTCCTTTAGGACTGTTATCATTTTTCTCTGTATTATCATCTTATATTTATTTTTATTCAGCTATGAATTTGGAAAAAAAAAATAAAGATTTTTTTTTTTTTAAATGAAATAATTCCCATGAGTTATGTGTGATCTGGTGTAATTTAGTGATATGTCTTGCTTTACCAACAGTTAGATTTCATTAACAGTAGCATTGTGACATTCAACGAGAGGTATAAATTGAGTGTTAAGTTGTAAATAACAAACCAACTTTGAGTCAATAAGAACCCAAACTTCGAACCTATTCACAACATAAACCTGTCAGATAGCAACCTTCAGGTAATGGCTGTCATTCCACGTTCATTTCACTCAAATTACAGGTAATAATCAGATCAATCTTACCTGGATTTTTTTACGAGTGGGCCTGAACAGCAGCGAAAGTGATTTAAAAACGTCACACAAATCCGCCATCGTAGTGAAGTAATAACAAGGTATCCGAGAAAAGTTTCAGCGGGACTGTTCCACACAAAATGTCAACAAACTAATAAACTTCTACACGTGTGAGGTGTGATCACTCAGAGAGTTAAAGGTATATACGTGCTACATGTCATACCCGTATACCTACAGGCTCAGCACCCGAACATATTATGATCATTCTCTGATGGGAACAACACAATCCATGTCCCTGCGCTTCCTGTAAATCGGACTTGGCTTGACCACGTTTTCCCTCCTCAGTCTGGTAGAGTTAGGGAGTACAGGTAAAGGGTATTATGAGTAGTCAAGCATGATATCTCAACCGGTAACCTATGCCTGGACCCCAGGTACTGGCTAAGCCATTTACCTGCAGTATGACATTACATTATGCTTCACCTTGTGAAGGACTGGTCCATTACGGCCCTCGGGGGTGGTCAGGCCACGGATCAATACATAATACACAGAGATTTAAAGATTACATATAATATTTTCACTTTCGTAACAAATTGAGAACCAATTGACAACTTGTTTGATCTTTTACTACGGGATTTAGCGTAAAATACAAACGATCTGTTGAGATAGGTGGTAGATTTTTACCTGCCGATTAAATACATATAGCCACTTAAGTAATACAGGTATGTAAAAAAGTTCAAACATCAGGATGCAGGTAAAATTACCTAACACATTAACATGGAAATAGCCACTTAAGTAGAACGGGTATGTACAAAAGTTCAAACATCAGAATACAGGTAATATTACCTAGGTAAGTCTCGTATGAAATTTAACACTTAAACCATTGCACAAATTTGTGTAAAAATCAGTCGAGATAAAGTGTGTCCGACTGAAAGGATTTGACTCTAAGACAGATTATCGCTAAGTATCTGATGTGACAATAAAACCCCTTATACTACCATAAACCTAATTCTATTGTTACATCCCGACACACTGCATGATAGCCTATTAACTTGTCACACTCTGGAATCTATAGAAGTAAATACCTGAATACAACCTAACTAGCCCTCATTGTTTTGCCCACATCACAATACAGATATGTGCTAAATCATATGCCGAGGTCTATAGCTGGTTTATTTCTGTTTACAAACTTTCTTGATCTGATTATCAGTGGGATTAGAGTGCTATATATATAGCAACCCCCCATGGCAAGCTTTAGACATAGTATGTATATAGTCACTTTGTCTTTTCCCCCCCTTACAAATTGGTTCCATTCATAATCTTTCATTGACAGCTGAATAATGCTACCATGGTCATTTTGATTTAAACTATATATACTCTATTGTCGCCCTGGTAAAATAGTACTAGCTGGTTCCTTCCGCCTTGGTTAGGATATTATTCTTTTGCTGATTCGTTAGAGCGTAAGACTAGTAAGCCAGAGGTTCGATTCCTAGCAGAGGCATTGAAAAAACATAATGACCTGTTACATTGGTGCCCACGTATGGACTTGGGAAATATTGACTGAAAAAATTAACAAGAGGCCCAATGGGCCTGCATCGCTCACCTGGTATTAATCTCACACTTGTAATATTAAAAGTGGACTTAAATACAGCTACAGGCAGAGTATCAGTGTTTGATTCATAAGAACCTATTAAAAGATTTAAACATATGACGCCTGTGCCCTTGAATGTCGAACAAGGCTATTACGTTGAAAGTGGGTCAAGATAATTTATTTGAACAAACTTGGTAGCCCTTCATCCCATCATGCTACAGGCCCAATTTCAGTACACTGGGCCTTTTGGTTATTGAGGAGAAATGGTTTGAAGATTTTAACATATTTGACCCCTGTGACCTTGAAAGTGGGTCAAGGTAATTCATTTGAACAAACTTGGTAGCCCTTCATCCCAGCATGCTACAGGCCCGATATCAGTACCCTGGGCCTTTTGGTTATTGAGAAGAAGTTGTTTGAAGATTTTAAGACATCTGACCTAAGTGACCTTGAGAGTGGGTTAAGGTCATTTAAACAAACTTGGTAGCCCTTCATCCCAGCATGCTACAGGCCCGATATCAGTACCCTGGGCCTTTTGGTTATTGAGAAGAAGTTGTTTGAAGATTTTAACATATTTGACCCCTGTGACCTTGAAAGTGGGTCAAGGTAATTCATTTGAACAAACTTGGTAGCCCTTCATCCCAGCATGCTACTGGCCAAATATCATGGGCCTGGGCCTCTCCAGAAGAAGTTGTTTAAAGTAAAATGTTGACGCCATAAGCTCACTTGGCCCTGTTGTCTATATGACCCCGGCGAAAAATGGCACCCAACGTGGGGCAAATATAACAGAGATTATTATTTTTTCAGTGCCTCCACTAGGAGTCGGAATCCACAACATGCTTTTGCGAAAAAAAATCTATTAATAGTAACAGTGACCTTGAGACTGAAACAGGAACTCCTCTGAGGTATCCTCATGATTGATCAAAATTTACTACAATGAAAGTCTATAGATAGCAAGTGACAGTGGCCTTGACCATGCTGGTACTATTCAAGATAAGCTCATTAGAGACATTCTCATGTTTCACAATTGTATGAAGTTTGATAAACATCTTTTAAAATATTAAGTCTCTTGAGTGATGACACCGATTTGGTTGATTGATTTCCTATAAATACTAATATAATGTTAGGAGTGATCTGGGCCCTTGCCTTGGATTACCCTGACAAATTACAAGTTGATGCTGTCTGACAGCCATTTGGACTGTTCCAGAAAAATGTAAATATAAACTGACATCTGAGTTCTCGTACCTGACCTTTGAATGAATTTTGATAAAAAATAAAATAAAAAATGAAGTTCCTAGAGCAATGTCACTGAATTGGAAATGGGGGGCAGACACTGTTTGAATACTATATGGCCCACATAAGACGTCAGGAGAATTTCCAGCAATGAAAAGTTACACTTGCAAACATGTTCAATACAACTTTAAAATCTGTTTCAATTTCACACAATATAAACGGAACAAGTTTGTTTTAGAAAGATATCACTTTAGCCGAAGGCTCTAACCACACTAAAAAGAAAACTTTGGGATGAGTTTTAAAAATGTGATATGAAATGGAAATGAATTAAACGCCTGCATTACAAAAATATTCGCAAACATTCACCTAGAAATGTCCCAATTTCTCTGACAAAGTCAAGTCATCAATATTGCCATATTGATGCCACATTTATATATCTTTAATATGACATAAGGTCCATTGTCTTAAACCTGACATCGCAATGAACAATACTATATGGGGTTAATCTAGATAAGACATGAGCATTTTCCAGAATGACACAGTAGTCATGTGGTAACAGTTGGTTTTAATTATTTGCAGATCAAAACATTCACTGCTTGTAATTTTCTGAACCTAGGTGGTTTTCCTGTTGAATTAAAGTAAATAATAAAAATTAATTTTGAAATAAAATAAAATCATTCTTTTACTTGGCACCTGCAACCTTTTTTGTTAATGTATTTCTATTAGAGGTAAAAAAATATGATATATTAAATCTGCAGATTTCATAATCTGATTCAGCAAGTATTATTTACCCATTTTTTTTAACAAATAGGGCGTGTAGCAGGGTTTACCTAATTTATGCTGTGTCAGAGTGATTTGTCCAAACTGGATTTTTGAACAAACATTCTGTATAATACAACAAATATGTATTGTGGAATTAACTTATACATTTATGCATAATCATGCATGTTCAGAAGAAATATTAAAAAGTGCATAAATTCTTTTCTATCAAACACTGAGCACTTCGCTGTGAACTTAAATTTTGCAAGGAATGTAAGGTAATAAATTCTTGAGCAAGTCTGCATATTGTAATTGTGAAGCAAAATTTCAACCATTTAAAACAAGAAATTGATAATCACTCTTACATCCAAAGGACTACTAGTTCATCAAAACTCACTGAAATACTGTCGTGTCAGTAAGCATACAAAGGGAGACTACCCTTACAAAATTATTAAGAAATTACTTACCAAGTCTCCATCAGACTCTGGAGTGGTGGGGGATAGCTGAGCAGTAGGAGTTGTGTCCCTTGAACTGTCTGTGGAATAAGTTTGGTGGTCGTCTGATTTCTGCCTCTTGAGTGTTCCGTCTCTGGAAGGAGGTAGGGAAGGTGAACCTGGTATTGAACAACTTTTTGTGAATTCTGTCTTTGGACTGCTGGCAGAGTCCTGCTTAGAGACACCTGCTGAATCTGGCAGAATGATTGCGTAGTTTTTGAGCAGCCATGACCTTGACCTCATCCTGTCAGGAGGTGGCGGGCTGGGTTTGAGTACAAGGGGTTGCTGGGAAGTCAGACAGGGAATATCCAACCCCTTATACTGGTATGCACAATACTTCTTATGCATCTGGTCTAATAGAGTTTTTTGTTGGAGACTTTGTGACCCGAATTTCACATTGCAATTTTCATCAGTTGTGGTCCCATTTTGAAGCATAGATTGCATTATGGGAGCATAGTATTGTTTCCATTTTTTTCTTGACACCCCATCCCATGTTTTAGACATGTCTTTGTCCATGAACTTTGACTCGTTATTTACTTGGGAATACTCTGTGTCATTAGCATACATCTCCAGTTCCTTTCGGGCTATTTCACGCTGCTTGTTTCTGCTGTTGGACGGTTTCCGCCTCAGCAACACAGGACTTGTAGCATTGACAATAACTTGCATTTCAGGAGATTCGTCGTGAATCATATATCCAAGCTGTGACTTTGGCTGGAAATTTTCAGAAAAGTTGGATGGCTTAGGAGGAACAGGTGACATGGCAGGGGAGGTAACTGATATCGTGGTAAGGGGTTCCATTGTAGGTAACTTGGGTTTTGGTGTAAACTGACTCACAGGTTTGGTTGTGTCTTGGGTTTGAGCTCTGTTCACAATCACATGACTTGTGGGAATGACAGGTTTGTGGTTTGTGGTGGAAACCTTTGTCATGTGATTGAATGGCTTGACAGTCACATGATTCGCTGAAGAACCATTTGTCTGATTTGTAGGTGTAATATTCCCATCTACAACCTGATCGGCTGGTACACTAGTCACATGACTAGGCGAAACACTGATCATGTTTTTCATGGGTAAACCGGTGACATGGTTGGGTACAGCAGTGATATAATTTGCTGATGCAGAGGTCACATGACCTTTCGAAACAACCTTGACCTTACTGGAATCAAGGAAGAGTTCTGTAGTGGCAGTGTTAGAAATCTCCGCCTGCTGGAGTCTCTCAAGTCGTTTAGCGCGAGTCTTTGGCCTCTCCAATGAATCGGTGGTGTTGGTGCCTATGCTGATTTGCTGACTCTGCGACAAACTTGCTGCATGTTTTGGACTGGAAGGATTACTGCTATCCTCGAAAGAAGTCTGCACGGCTGTCGTTGACAGAGTATGCTTCTTGACTTTGAACACGGGTGTTGGGTCATCTATATCGGTGACTAGTAGACCCCCAGGGGAGGAACTTGTTGAGCCTCTTAAATAACTGTCTCTGAACACATAATTTTCCCCTTTGTATGAGGAGTTAAGTTGGTCGTCGACCAGTATAGAATTGTTCAACTTCTTCTGTTTCTTTGACGGGGAGAAGTTTGGCAGTGTTTTTGACCGTCGTAATATTCGGTGTTGGTTCAAAGTGAGGCTAATGATCTGTTCTGTGCGATCAACAGAAGGAACGAAAGTTGGGGTGCTACATCTGCCTACTTCCTCTACATCATGATCTAAAGAAGCAGTGTGTGAGGGTGAAGGGTTTACCTCCCTGACGTGAATGTTATCATACACTTTTCTTTCAGACTGGGTCTCGGTTTTACGAAAATCACATTCATCCGATGATACGGTAGTGTCTGCCCAACGTGTAAACAGCGAGTTTTCTGTCACATGCTTTATGGAATCGTCAATAATATCTGGGGAACACAATTCTGGAATACTGGTATCCTCTTCAACAGGGGACAACACACTTTCTGCAATAAGTCCTGGCCGCGTCTTGCTGTAGTCTAACAACACAGTCTTTGCTACTGGTTTAATATCTGTTACAATTCTGTTGTCCTTTGGCTCGTCCCCATGTTTTGTTACAGGTAGACACACAGATTCTACTTTAACATGGTGGTCTACGACAGCACTGTTCATTAGGGGATCATCCACAGGTGTAGAACTATCTAAATCCACAGTCGAGTAATTGTTCTGTGGAACAGTGGAACACACATGATCCACAGTAGAACGGTTGCTCTCAAGAACTGGGGAACACACAAGATCTTCAGTAGCGTTGTTATTTTGTAGAATAGGGGAACAAACAAGATCTGCGGTAGTGTTTTTATTCTGTAGAACCGGGGAACGCACAGAATTCACCATAGGATTTTCTACAGATATCCTATTGTCTATGGGTTTGGAATCATCATTACACACAGTAGAGTCTTTGTCCACTTTTGCAGTACATTGCTGTGATGGCAAACCAACCGATTTCTCAGTAGAATTCTCTACTACTGTTGACGAAATCTCTGTTTCTATCTTAGAAGAGTTACCACATTTGCCAATAATTGTTTCCGTAACATATTGTCTTGAATGCGAGTTTTTCAAACTTTCTGTTGTTTTCAAATTTCGAATATTTTCATTTACTACAGAAATATCATTTTCACATTTTGAAAGTAACTTCTCTTCTCTAAGAACATTGATTTCTTCACACAGATTTTGATCCACTAGAGAATTTTCAATTGATGTAGTGTCGTGAACAACAACCTCAACTTGACATTCATTTGCACTTAGTAACCTTCGATGTTTACCACTGGGTGACCTTTGATCAAATTCTGTCGTTTCCAAGGAAACCGCATCAGAACTGGCATCACTCAGCAATGACACAGAATCTTCCAAGTTATACGTTGCTAAGGGCACAGCATCGTCTTCTAACGATGAGGAATCATCCAAACCATCATTCCATTCTCCGAGAATGACCTTTAACTTTTCTGAATCTGTATTTTTATCGCCATCTTGTTTTTTCCTGTCAGCATCTGGGACCCGTATTTCCTCGGCTATGGCTGCTGTTAATTCCTGAAAAGAGAAAAAAGAAGTAACATTTTATTGTAATCCGCTGATACTTTGCCCATATTGCATAATTTTTATAGAGCTATATTGGATCAATACAATGCTAGCAATGAGAAGCAGGAACCCGAGATCATTATAACATTTGACATCTTTTAATACGACAGGGAGACTGAACATTTCTTTTATTTTAAATAAACCAGGCATAACAGCCAAGCAGTAATATACAGTAACAAACATTCTCCGATCAGGATCGATTTTCTTTTCTTGGAATGATGACGGATTACCATTGAGCCAAGTTTTTCGGTACATTAATCCATATTCCTCTAAAGAAATGCTCCTGTGTAACGGATCTTAATAAGAGAATAGAAATGGTTCATTTACAACTGTTTATACCGTGACATGTTCCAGGATATCATACTGAATAGTCAGAGATACAAGGAACCGACTAACGGAGTCACATTTTGACAAATCTGGTAAAAAATTACACTGTTGTAAAATATTATACCTTCTCTGAAAATATGAGTATGACGTTTTACAATAACAAGCACAAACTGTAGAAGAATCATATTTCCTTGTGCTCATCCAACAAACATGAGTGCACAGACATGGGTAACACTATATAGTATACGCCCCCTATTTTATTTATTGATGTATTTTTTGGAGGAGGGGGGGGGGGGGGGGGAGCATAACATGGTTTAAACAGTCGTAGGGTTTGAGTTTTGATATTTTTACAGGACTGAACATTGTTTACTTTTGCTTCCAAGAGCTGTTTACATTTACACAGAATGAATTATTTATGTATTGACATTAAAATATGCAATTCAATATAAAACCTTGGGGACAGCTGTTCCTAGCTGTATCGGTATTCGCATGTACACTGTACTAAGGATTTTATATAGCGACAGGATAAAAAGTAAGCTTATATACACATGCATATTCGGTACCATGAATACAGAAGTTACAATAACAGAGATCTAATATTCTATCATGGGAAATAGTTCTGTGTTACACGAGAAGTTCCAGGAAGCTGTCAACCAAGTGCACCTTCTGTGTAGTGTTCACGACTGGCAAGTGTCAACCGAGTACACCCTCTCGCTGCTGAACGTGTGCATTACCTGGACAAGAGCCAAGTGGAATGGAACACATAAATAAACACTGTATCTTTGATTACACATGCAGCATATCTATCATCCCATTGTACATGTCCCAGTACTAACGTACATTGCACTTTGTAAATGGGATTCGGCTTTCTTTCAACACCCTAATCTGTAATGGGATTTTGAGTAAAACAGATCTATATGATCAACAAACAAGTCCAGGAATCGAGTAAAATATTTAATAGGAATTCTTTTAGAAGATGTTTTTACACCAGGATATCGTCAAATAAACAGAAAACAAATGTAAACAGATGCCCTATACATACAATCTATGTGTGAGCTTACTGCTTATTTCACTAGAGAAGACGTTATCAGATATAAATCTATCTTCAAATTCCTCAAATAGCATTAAAAATGTAAAGAATCCCAGGAGTGCCACTGGTGACATTCCACTTGACATTTAAGGTGTCTTCATTTGACACTGGGGTATACTTTCTTTCCATACAGGCATCATGGGTCAATATGTAACATTTTATTTGTTCTAACAAACAATTTTAGAAGAAACTACAAAACCTGACAGATCAGCAAGGGCCCCGCCATGCTCCTGACCATAACAATCCTACCCCTAATATCTAATTTTTTTTGTAAGTGATTGTGATCTTAGGCATTTTAATCTTGTATTACATATTTACATATCGCAGTGTATCACCGAGTCAAATTTAAAAAATGCCAGTTTGATATAAAATGTCATTTTACATTGTGTACATCATCATAGTAGCTATTGTCAAATGCTGAATCATTTCAGAGAGAACTGTAAATGTCATTGACACTTGTGAATTGAAATCTGGACTTAGTCTGTATCTGTTTCATGATCCTGGGGCTAGCTCACGGCGGGTAGGAACAGACTATATCTCGACTAGAACAATTTTCCAATTTAGGGATGAAGTTAAACTCAAGTTCTTAATGAAATATCTACGAGTATCAATCTTCTGCCTCCAGTGATTACCTCACAGTATATTAACAAGGCAGTCAGATTACCTCACAGTATATCAACAAGACAGTCAGACTACAGCGTCTCTCGCCAGTTGGCACATACAGGGGTACACAAAACATTGAAATGAGATAATCTTATACATTATATACCCTGGTATGTACTATGATGTTGATTAGACACACAGACCTGCCAATGGCTATGCTTATTTCAATTAATTTTCCCAGTGTCATACAGAAAAAGAAACTATTAAAGGGGCAATGTTTTAAAAAGGTTGACAATGCTGATATGCTATATTTCTTATCAAGCAAATTTAGAAGGAAAAAAGAAAGCTCAACAGCTTACAATCACAAACCATTCTTCAGACAGATTCATTGCATCAAATTTGAAACAATTCCAAAAATGTTTCATTATTTTTCAATGAAAAACACATCTACATTCAAACAGAGATTCAGTCACAGATAAACGCTATATACATATAGAACATGCCCTGATGTGCAGCACATGGCATAGGAGTTTCCTCTCCCTCTTCTCCAAACTCATTCATAGACAAAATGTCTCAACACTTTTCAAGTTGGCGCCGAAGCAATTTGTTGCAAATGATCACAAAAACAATTTTCCCAGTTATAACTATCTACAAGAGCTGTCCCCAACACTTGCAAAACAATTTAGAGCTTACGTTTCATGTAAAATGCAATGCAATTTGGTTTTCGTTTCAATCGAAATGACAATTAAGCAAACTAAATTGGTTGATTCTTTTCCACTAAATTCAATGGCTATAAGACTTTTCTTATCACACACAGAATTCCCCGAAGACAAGATTGTATTTGGTTTCACTTTGAAAATATGGGTAATACACAATATACGTTTCCAAGTATTCCGTTCTTTAGAAGTATTATGCAATATCATTACGTCATCTAAACATCCCTACCCTACGGGACCATCCATAAATATTGGTCCATGCAATGTTGTAATTTGAAACATAAAGCTGTCTCCAATGCTTGCAGAACAATTTAAATATTCCTTTCATGTAGAACCAGGCTCCAGTACATGTTGAGATTGAGATTTTAACAGTGTGATGAAACAATAGAGATATGTCATGTCAGGTACATTAATAAATACAACAGCAGCCAAGATCCAGTTTTAAAAAAGAGGCTCAAATGGCCTGTTTAACCCTTTCACCACTGTAGACCATAATGCACCCCTCCATATCAATGCATGGTAGAGTCTACTAAAGTTACATAGGGGTGAAAGGGTTAAACGATCATAGCAAAATTCTCATTACAAGCAACATTGTAAGTACGTGTCTCCATTTTGGGTTCTGCTCTTTAAGCACCAAGAAGGATAGTACCTTTCCTTTGTAACATTTGATTTCCTGATTCAAAGTATACCAAACCCTGGATGAAACATTATCAACTAATCAGGCCCTGTCCTTTAGACACAAAGGAAAACATAATTCTTTATGTAATCAACCCTAAAGGTCCCCAGGACCACATATGGTGATAAGGGTGGGGATCTAAATCATGAGCCCCGAGAGGTGGGGTCTGACCCTAGAGCAAAACATTGTAGCATTGGTACACCCAAAATTACTATACCGACTACCTTCATACCACATTAATGATTGCCTTGTCCTAGTGAAATTTCAGACCAAAGACGTTAAGATTTTATACATGTTATCAGAGCAGGTAGGCTTTTGAGGATAAAACTGAATAATTTTTCACTATTTGGTTTATTCAAAGCATTATACAGCCTTCATTTGTACAACATTTTCTTGTGCTACTAATGTTGACTGCTATAGATTTGGTTAAATGCGTAAAGCCCTTCATGAAAGGTGAAGTCAATTGACTATTTAGCATTAATATAGTCTATATTATTACTTATAACTTATCACACTGTTCGTCAGTTAGCACCAGCTTAAATAGATTTATACCCCCAGCCCTACTATACATGTTGGTGATTTCCACAAGGAAATGCTAATGTTCTGGAGGTGTGATGGGTGAGCTAGCTCCCAGTTTTCTATTTACTGATTCAGCTAAAAGAAAGCATCAAATAGAAATACAGAACCAATATAGGGTGTTTGACGAAAAACTCATCAAATTTTTCACCCGACATCATCAATTTTATATGGTTACCATAGAAACTGACCTATGCGGACGGTATCGAGGGACCAAATTGATAGTCTGGTGGTAACGTAACTGAACAAGACGGATTTGCTGTAGACAATTTCATTGATGCAATGACGTTTGATTTGCTTCCATTTTGCCATATATATATATATATATGACTTCTGGAAGAGCAAAAGCCAGACAAAACCTCTAGGATTCCATCATGTTTACCTTATAAGGCAATAAACATCAGTTACCATGGCAATCCCCCATTTATTGTACAATGTGTCTTCCAGTAAATAAGAAGATATTCCCAAGTGAACGGGGAGCTTAATTACAGCACCAAAGTTACGGCATTCCTCACCCATGTCACTTAACACGGATAATGCCACAATGACAAACCGTACACAGATATTCCACAAGTCTAACAGATTCAGAGACACCTACGCTCGCACAGTGTACATTGAGACACCATCATCTGGCCTTACTAAAGGCGCCCCAAATCTTGTTCCTAATTCAGTTATGAAGATTAAACCAATTATAAAATAGCATTTCTCCAAAAACTACATCTCATTTCATGCAGACCTACATGTAATGCGGTACATGTTTTTTGTTTTTTTTAACATTTGATCGCTTTCTTTAACAATGTTTATATTAACTAGAACGTTCTATTATTTCAGTAGTTCATTTTTTACCTAATTATCATCAAATTAGCCTAAGGTATGTATTCTACAGGTACAGACATATTTATATATTACCGAAAAATTGTATCACAACTGATGGTATTAACATTTTAACTTTCATACTGTTTCA